ATAGGTCATTGGTTGACACAGAAAATGACACACCGCGCGTTCGATATTTTGATCGTCCGATACGAACCGAATCCTCCATCTTTTTTCCGAAAAGAGCCAAGAGGTTATGAACGTACCCGAAGCGAGACAACTCGGATCGAGAACCATTCCGTAGCTTCCGACAACAGCTGTTGACGGAATCGTTTTCTGTCCTTTTTGCACACACACTCGTTTTGGTTTTGTTCTTGTTTTTCTTGTTGTTCCATTGGATATTGGGGTGCGCTATGCTTCGTATTGTTTTTCTTGTGTTTTTATCTATGGTTTTTATTAAAATATAATTCGTACATACATGCGAGCATCCACCCTAGATAGACGAGTCGGGCCTATGGCCATAAGACATTACGTTCGCCAAAATAACGATAATCGAGTACTGCGACTGACGTCACGTGCCATCAGTCGCAGTCCTCGACCGGACTGTTTCTATTTAAAACAGAGCATTTCAGTTGCTTTAAAAATCGTTGTGTCCAATTTTATTTATTTATTTTTAACTTTATTTCAGATTACAGTAACATGTATACACATATACACATAAACCATGAAATGAAATAGCGTTACAAAAAAGACCTTACACCTATAATGCTACTCAGAACAATAACATTATTTGCAGTTATATGTGTATCATTACTATCATTCAAATATTCTTGTGTACTACCTATATGGTTCCAACACAATAAGTATCTTTTTCAGTTTACTTTCAAACATTTTTTCTTCAGTCTATTTTTAATTCATTGATTAGTATTAAGAAAGTTTTATTCCCATGTCACATGGACTTTTTCCCAATAATGTTAACCTGTGCCTCGGAAAACAAATATTATTATGCTCTAGTGTTATAATTATGACATGACTAGCATCAATAGCGAAACTTTTATTTCCAATTCTACCATGGAGATTCCTCTTGAAAAAGACAAGGAATGGTACAAAACTTAAAACTTGGCAAGATAAATATTCAAAACGGAAAAAAAAATCACCATTTCATTTAAATTTTTGCAAGTTAAGAACGATAATTAGAATGGATTATATTTATAAGCCAAATTTACCAACAATATAGAAAGAAAAATCTACGTGTAGAAAGGTATAATTAGAAAGTTTAGCCATAAAGCACACGGCTTTTATTTACTACAAAAATCACCCTTGGCCAAATGTTCCATAATTAATATGATTTTCTGTTTGTCAAAAAACACAAGGTTGTTATAATGATTTAATTTTTGCATTTCTAAATATCAAAATATAAAGCAAAACATAGTTGCAATCTTTAGATATTCATAATCATAATCCATAAAAATACTGCAAGTTTCCCAACAATTCCATGCATTTAATGATGAATGATGCATTGCATTTACATAGTAAACGTAACAATAAAGGACTGCAGTGTCGTCACCTCCAGCGAGAAGTTTCGCATTCTACCATTTTGATCGCGGACAGCTGATTAAAGCCGATTCGTGTGTTCGTAATCGCATTTCCGTTCAATACGATGCGTATACGCTTCGAGTTTACCTTCGACTCGGAATCTTTCCGTATCGGATGTTCATAATTCGGCCGAGTAGTTCTCCGAGCTTGAATTTACCGTTCGTTTATTCAGAAAGTGTACTCGGAGCAGGCTCATTTGCGTTCGTTTATTAAAATTTCGGCAACTCGGATACTGCGTTCAATTGCTCTGTTCGCTCGCTGGTCACGTGATTACGGCTCTGCTCAACACGCTCTGCTCTTTGAGCAAAATACCGAACGCATGGACAATATTAAACCAAGAAAATCTTTTGTGTGCCAACAATCCGTCAAAAAAAGTCACGTGGTTTGGAGCCTAATTGCTTCGACAATTTGACAATTGATATAGTATTTTTAATACCTATTTAGAAGTACCAGTCGTTCTAGTGACAAAACGTATGTCGCTTCTTGACACACAAATTAAATTAGGTTAAGAATTTTTTATTTGTACCATCGTCACCAAAAGTAACTGGGACAGCATCACATTAGCTCTTGTCCTATTATATGAATTTTATTGTCAAATATTTGTCAAACTATGCATTAAATGCATTGAAATGAATGACAGTAGAATTAGTCCAGGAGATTATTATGCATTATTTGTGTCCCAGTTACTTTTGGTGACGATGGTACGTGATTTGTACATGAAATTGACGAATTAGCAATCGACGTTCCTTTTTGTTAGTAATTTTTTGTTTCATCTGATTCGTACGTGATTGATAAATAAGGATGGGGTTATTCTAGATGGGTATTACAAATACTATACATGCATAAAACGTCAACTTGGCGAAGCAAATCAAAAAAAGAGCGAATTTTGCACAAGTCAGAATGAGGCAGCTACTAAAGTCTGTTTTTTTTTTTAAAGATAATTCCCCAAGTCAAAAATTTAGTAACTATGTTGGCAGCACAAACCTTTTCTACATAAAAAATTTGAAAGCATTGACAACTTTACATTGTATTGCCAACATAATGTCATTTTGACTTTTATCTTTAAAAAAAAAAACAGATTTTACCAATGAACTATAACCAAAAACTGGAATGCTAACACAGGAAGAACGTGAAGCCTAGTGCAGCTGCTGCGGAGGGGATACCTGTTTTTGTCGCACTCATTATGTTAAATGGCGAAAATTGCTTCCAACACGTATTCCAATTGATGAAACCTGTGAAGGAAAATATGAAAATACTTTCGAAAACGTCATATGTCAGCGAGCAACAGAAAAAAACAACATTCCCCCTTGTGGCATCTGACTTTCATGGCTTCATTTTTTGGGCAGATATGGCAATGTGCGCGCATTCCAGTTTTTGGCTATAGTTCATTGGCTACTAAGGTCCGTTTCACCAAGGTTCATACTTGACCTTGAAACTTGAAAAAAAAGGGTTGTCGTAGATTAATTCATATGACACATTGAATTTTTTTGACAAATTAAAATGAATGACTTCTGGTTTAAGAACCGACGAAGGTTTTTAACGTCATTGATTTGTTTCAGTCAATTTTTATTTGTCAAACAAGGAAGGTAAATGCTGGTGGCAAGTACAAACCTGGCGAAACAAACTTTACTTACTTGAACAAAACAATCCTAAAGCACGGTCTACACGTAACGATGTATTGTACGATTTGCATGCGCAAGTAAATCGTTACAGACAAATCGTAGCGTGTGGATGACAGATTTGAGCAAATTTTAGAACTGTGCAAAGTCGGAGGTCGGAGTTGGAAGTTTGAGCTGGAAAGCATAGATCAGGGCCGGATTTTACACTCGTGCAACTCGTGCGCCGCACGAGGGCGGCAGCCCGAGGAGGCGGCTATTCTATCTAGGTATATTAGTATATTTTTATACAGATTTTAAAAAAATAGAGACAAAAACATTTTAACTATATTGCACGAACAGGCAGTCAGTTGTTATGGCGCGTGCTACGTGCCAAGTGGTACGAGCACCCCTGAAAAGTAGTACGAGCGCCCTTGGCCTATCACCTACAAGCGATAAACAACAAACGGACCACGCTTGGTCTATTGGGATAGATGAAATTTGTTCATTGAAAATCCCAAATAAATTTGTCGTGAATAAAGTATACTACTCGCAATAATGGCTATTATTCACTCGGAATGTTACTCCCTCGCCACTAACGCGGCTCAGTACGTAAATATTCCTGGGGAATAATAGCTATCATTATTGACTCGCGGTGTATAATAATAGACTATTAATGTTCGTAGTTGAAACCGAGCTTCTTGGAATATTTATTTACCAATAAAATACCTGAGCATCATTGTGATGATTAGGTGTTGGGACTACTGGTGTTGTGTTAAGGATTGATAATTAAAAATAGGGCAACCACTTACCGTGCTCGAAGCGTACTTTACTGTGCCCTGTGCTGATGATATTTTGAACCGTGCCGTTCCGATACCAAAGTTTTAGGAAAAACAAGATGAGGGGCTAACTTGACGCTCAGATTTCCCAAAATTTTCGAAATCAGATCAAACAAAAATGGATTCTTATGCAATCGAACTGTGCTGTATCAAATTTTTCTAAAAATTCCAATATTCGGTAATTTTCTGACAATATTCTACTCGGGGGGCTACTTATTTGATCTGATTTTCAAAATTTTGGGGGGGCTGAGCGTCAAGTTAGCCTCCCAGTAGGATTTTGTCAGAAAATGATTGAATAAGAAAATTTTCAGAAAAACCTGATACAACCCAGCACACTTCAGATTGCATAAAAATCCGTTTTTGTTCCATTTGATTTCCAAAATTTTGGGGGGCTAGCGTCAAAGTTAGTCCCCCAGTAGGATTTGTCGGAAAACGACCGAATATGGATATTTTGAGAAAAACCTGATACAGCACAGTTCAGCACACTTCAGATTACATAATAATCCATTCTTGTTTGATTTGATTTCCGAAATTTTGGGCAGGCTTAGCGTCAAAAGTTATAGCCTCCCAGTAGGATTTTGTCGGAAAATGACCGAATAAGAAAATTTTGAGAAAAACCTGATACAGTACAGTTCAGCACACATCAGATTGCATAAGAATCCCTTTTTGTTTGATCTGATTTCCAAAATTTCTGGGGGGCTGAGCGTCAAGTTAGCCCTCATTTTGTTTTTCTTATAACTTTGGTAATGGAACGGCACAGTTCAAAATATCATCGGCACAGTAAAGCACACTTCGAGCACAGTAGTGGTTGCAATTTTCTTAGAAAATTCGAATGTGGGGGAGGGCTAATCTTGACGGAGCCCACGGATACAATTATTGTTGAAAATTCCCTTCCCCCGAAGCAAAAAGTTCCTCATGGGGGGCGGCAAAACAAGCTCCTGCACGAGGGCGGCCAAAGAGCTCTAGAACCCGCCCTGCATAGATTATAGATTTGGGAGATTTGCGCATGCAAGTCGTAACGTGTGTACGCTTGTCGGGCTCACCTTGCAATTCTTCAAATACCCATGTCTAGACCACCTAGAACGTCTATAGTTTCATTTGAAGGTTTCCTAATTTCTTTTTTTCTTTTAACATTTAACCAAAACAACAAAATACCTACTCCTCAAAAACACTACCTCCATAATTATTTTATACAATCTAACTATAGCTACTTACTAGAGGGTGGATGCATTGTGATAGTAACGATTTATCTTCTGTAGGATTCATGGATATGGATTTATTGGCGCATGCATATGATGATACATCGTTGCGTGTAGACCGTGCTTAACAGTCCTAACCTTCTAACCTGACTGTTTGTGTTTTCAGTTTTGTTTATGTTTTATCTTTAAATTTTAAAAGATAAGAGATTTCGAACTGAGAGATTCTTACCAAGATTTGCAATATTCCACTGTATGTAAAACTTATTTAAAACTGATAAAAAGATGGATACAAGTACAGAAAATGATCCACTACTGGAAAAAGCGAACATCGAGCCAATGCTGGAGTTCGAAACTCAAATATTCCTGGATATAGTGCGTAGCGATGGTTTAATTATTGCAGCAAAGTAGGAGCCTCCATCAAACAAACAAAAAAAAAAACACTAGAATAAATCATTTAATTTCAGAGGCCTGAATTTGGACTTGATTCTTGTAAATATCTTCAAAGTCTACCAAGATCCAGGAAATTTAGTTTTAGTTCTGAATGCCACTGATGCCGAACAAAAGTATTTCCATGAAAAACTTGGAAAAACAGATGTTTATATTGAACATAATAATGCAGCTGTGAAAAGGTATAGGGTGAATAATGGTCATTAGGATCAAGAGTATAGAACAAAGGATTAAACGTTGCTCACCTATCTTATTTATCATTGAACTAGCCTGGTTGCTCCTGGCTTTGCACACATGAAATTGTGTTTTAAAACTAGATATATCTCCCATACAAACTTCCACCTCCCATTTCCACCCTCAAAATGTGGAAATTGAAAAACCTCATTATTTAGAGATGTAAAAAAACGGTTTTTTTTCAGATTTGAAAAATAAACTTTGAAAAAAAACCAGAAAAAAAACGTTTTTTTTGTTTTTTTTCTAAATGATTCAAATGTAAAAAAGCAGGTTTTTTTCAGATTTGAGAAAAAAACTAGAAAAAAAACAAGTTTTTGTGTTTTTTTTCAAAATAATTCAATTTTAAACTTTGTGAGTATCTCCAACCTCATCTTTAAGTAAAAAAAAAACGGACATTTGACGACCCTGGAGACAAAGTTACAGCGAAAGTGTCTTATATCAGTGATGTTATGTTCTAGTATGTATGTTGTATGAATATGATAAATGTATGATCTGATATAATATGATAGTTTATACATGGATGTACCATGTACCTGACCTGTAAACATGTTTCATTTACATAAGAATAGGTCTGTTTCTGCAGAAATCACAAACAAGTCAGACCGAAGTTCATTGGTAGAAATTAGTTTTCTGACTGTTTTCAACGAATGAAATTCGTTCTGACTGGTTTGTGATTTCTGCAGAAACAGACCCAATATTGTTCCTATGTTATTTCTAATATAGAATAAGGCAGTATTTTACGTTTTATCCATATTTCACTGCTTAAACCAATTTTTTGTCCCAAGAAAAGCTTAACTGGCAAAAAAAGTAAAAAATGCGCATATGGTGCTAAGTTTAGAAAAAAAAACCATTTGAAAAAAAAACCATAAAAAAAAACAAAAAAAACGGATTGTTTTTTTTCACGTTACATCTCTACTCATTATATTAGGTCTGTTTCTGCAGAAATCACAAACCAGTCAGAGCGACTTTCATTGGTTGAAAACAGTCAGAAAACTAGTTTCGACTAATGAAATTCACTCTGAATGGTTTGTGATTTCTGCAGAAACAGATCTACTATTTATTAAGTTTTGACTAGTTTTGTATCATTTAATTAATTAATTTAATTCGGTATCGTGTGGTTTCAGAAATATTGAGCTATGCATGCATCAAATCAAATTAAATTTAGTTGCTTAGTATAGTACAATATATTTTACAAGAGAACTTAAACTATTTCACTAATACCTAGGTAATCATCTTACTATTTATACAAGCAAGCTTTTAACCAGCACAATGGATTCCGAAAATCTGTGCCAAGTTTCATGTTTCTAGTTCATTTAGAAGTAGGTGAAACCTTCTGGACACACAGACAATATTTTTCCTTTTACCTATATAGATGAATGCACTTTCTCATGGTGAAAATTGTTTCAATTTTTTTAGATCAGAGGAATATCTTTGTGGAGGAATTCATTTTGCTTCCACTAGAATCTTGGTTGTAGATTTATTGAAAAAAAGAATACCAATTGAAAAGATCACAGGCATTATTGTTCTTAGAGCCCATAGGATTTTCGAAAGCTGCAATGAAGCTTTCGCTTTGAAGTTGTATCGTCAAAGTAACAAGGTATAATATTTCCACCAACAAACGACATAAATTTAAAAAAATATGTTTTCAGACAGGTTTTATCAAAGCCTTTTCAAATAGTCCCCAAAGTTTCACAATGGGTTTTTGCAATGTGGAAAGAGTAATGAGAGCGATTTTCGTTAAAGAATTATACATTTGGCCCCGATTTCATGCTTCTGTAAGGGATAGTTTGAAAAAACACGAGCCCCAAGTTATAGAATTACACATACCCATATCAGAGCACATGAAAAAATTACAAACCTATATTCTGGAGATAATGAATGCTACTGTAAAGGAACTTAAAAGAATAAATCCAGTGCTAGAAATGCACGAAATAACTGTAGAAAACTGCCTCACCAAAAAATTTCATAAAATTTTACAGGTTCAAATGAATGAGATTTGGCATCAGTTGAGCAATAGAAGCACACAATTGATTGCAGAATTAAAAACACTTCGGCACTTATTATTGTAGGTGTAAATTATTAAATATGTCTTAGGATATATGTGAACTTTTTTATAGGCAAATGTTTTATTCGGATCCAATAACTTTTTACGCAACAATTTTGGAATATAGAAAACCTGAATATGCTAGAACTGTTGATTGGGTTTTAAATCATTCTGCCGAGTTACTTTTTAGAGATGCTGGTGCTTTAGTTTATTCAGGAGACAAAGGTGATTTTTTTTTATATTTTATAAGACATTTTGTATAGATTTGTTTCTAGAATTTAATCCGGAATTTTGTCCAAAATGGGAGGCTCTATTGGAAATATTAAAAGTTGAAGTACCTGCAGAAATCAAAAAATCTAAATCCACTGAAAATACTACGGTTTTAATACTGTGTTCAGATCAAAGGACTTGTCACCAAATAAATGAGGCAACATTTTATTTACTTTAATTTAAAAAAAAAATCTATTGTCGAGAATTTTAGCTTCTAACTTCTGGTTCCCATTTATACCTATTCTTCCTAGCCCTAAAGAAAAAAATTCCTTTTAAAACCTTAAGCAGCAGATTTAAAAATTATGAAAAATTGCCAGAAGTGGCAAAAAGTCATGAACCTGAGGAAAAACCCAAACTCCGCTCCAGTAAAAGATTGAAACCTGATAAAGCCAAAAAAGAAACTGAAACAAAAAAAGAAAATCATGAAGAGGAGTTGGAAGAATGTGAGGATTTTCAAAGCACATACATTTTAACAATGAGTCAAAGTGTTTTGGAAGATTTTGACGAGTCAGTGGGTCAAGATAAAAGTTCAAATGAATCAGTTTTCACACCCTTTACTCAAGTACGTGAAAATGCCCTGAAGTTAAAACTCTAAAATAAATTATTTTAACTCTAAAATAAATTATTTTAGCTCGAAAATATGGATCTCTCTCAAATAATAGAATCTATAACGGCCCCAAAAATACTTATACAAACTTTTAAAGGCGGAGAAAATTATGTAAGCCTTCAAAATAATTTGGAAATTTTGAAACCCAGTTTTGTTATCATGTATCATAGTAATATTACCACAGTTCGCGAAATTGAGGTGAGCATTTTTCTACTTTGCTTCAACATAAATCTCCAACTAGCTTGATTAACTAATAGTGAAATATTTTTCAGATGTATGAAGCTCATAGACAAAGTGACACCAAATTGAAAATTTATTTTCTGATACACGCTGCCACCGTTGAAGAACAAGCTTATCTTACCACTTTGAGAAGGGAAAAAGAGGCTTTTGAATTTTTAATTGAAACCAAAGCTGTAAGTGTTTTCTTTTTAAGGCACTGCACACCTTTAGGGAAGTCGCAGATTGCATACATAGTCTAATAGCTGCCATAACTCGGTTATTATTGGACATAATCTTGTGTTGAACCTCAATTGATAGATTATTGTTTATAAAAAGACTGGAACAGATTAGCCATATTAGTGAACTTGTCGAGAATTATAGCTTTTGGCAAAAGTTTACCCTGATAGAATAGAAGTAATAAAACAATTCATAAACTTTGGTAAACTTCCATGCTCTTTGAGTCAACTTTTCAATTTTGTTGGCAAAAATTTGTTTTTCCAGTACCTACTTGCACTGTGTCACGAGAGCTCACAAAAAAGTAGAGTTTTCTTCCATTATTCAAATTTCACAATGTGGCCACAAATAGGCATTATCAGGCCATCATAAATAGTGCAGACCTTATATCTTTTACATTTGTAGCTTTTTAGAGCCTTTTTGAAAATTTCTTGAGGCTTATTTTTCTTTTCAATAGAACATGGTTGTACCAGAAGACCAAGATGGTAAATCCGACCAATGTTTAACCTTGCAAAGAGGTGGTACAAGTCCTGAAGAAAAAAACACTAGAAAAGGAGGAGGCCCTCAGGAACCAGCCAAAAAAATTGTAATTGTCGATATGAGAGAATTTAGAAGTGATTTGCCATCTCTTATACACAAAAGAGGCATTGAAATTGAGCCTCTAACAATTACAGTCGGCGATTACATTTTAACTCCAGACATTTGTGTGGAACGAAAAAGTATTTCAGATTTAATAAGTTCTTTGAAGTCGGGTAGATTATATCAGCAGTGCATACAGATGGAAAGAGTTTACTCTAAACCTATGTTATTGATAGAATTTGATCAAAATAGGCCTTTTGGATGGAAAGTAAGTTAGTTTTTACAATAAAATTGTTTTCAACAAATTAATATTGAAATTCAAATCTGCCTTGAACTGTTAAATTTACTCTTTTGCAGAACCAATTTATGATATCTGAAGATACCTATAGTTTCAGTATACAAGAAAAACTTTTATTGCTCACAATACATTTCCCAAAACTTAAAATTATTTGGAGCCCTAGTCCTTATGCGACTGCTCAGTTATTTGAGGAACTCAAGGTAATATTTTGTTAATTCTAGAACTTATAGATAAAGAAAATTTTTCTAGCAAGGAAAAGAAGAACCAAACATCGAATACGCTTTAGCTATAGGTGGAGACCAAGACATGGACGCTATAGAAACGAAATTCAACTCAAACATTTACGATTTTATACAAAGATTACCAGGAATCACCACGAAAAATATGGACAGATTTTTGAAAACTGGAGTGAATATGCAAACTGTTTTAAGCAAAAGTGAATCCGAGCTCACAGAAATGCTTGGAAACTCTGTCGATGCTAAAGCCATGCATACAGCGTTACATGAAAATTGTGTAGCACAAAAGGAACCTAAAGAAAAACCACAATACAGCAGAGGAAGAGGCCGTGGAACTAATAGACGAGGAAAATAAGATTTTTTGTTGTAAAAGAGGCAGAAGTTGAATAAAATATACTTATTACTTTTTTGTGTTTGGAGTTTTTATTCTGAGAAAAATAACGCCAATCGTAAGTTTTAGTCTTATATTATAAAAACAAAAAAAACTTATTTTGTAGATAAGTTATTTATTTAGTTTTCGGTTGTTTCTTTTCTTTACCAGCCTTGGTTACATCTTCAGGATTTTCGGCGGCATCCTTAATTCTCTTGGCACGGATTCCAACCAATCTAGCATCAGCACGTGCTTTCCTAAAATAAAAAAATATGTCTTTCAGATAATATTCAAAAGAATTATTGAAAAAAACAAACAAAAAAATGAGCCTTGAACGAACCTATTTTATATACAAATCCAGAGAAAACTTAAACTAAAGGCATTAAACTTTTGAACTTTCCATGCATTCAAACTTAAAATTTTGCCCTAAATACCTACAAAATAAACAAAAAAAAATAAAATAAATGGAATTTTCTCTGGTGACCACTACCAAAAATCACTTCAAGGAAACAAAATAAATGTTGGCTCTTACCTCAATGTAACATAAGCATTGAACTTGGTCTCTTCTTCAGTGGGCACACGAGCCTTGGACCTGATGGCAGCCTGTTTGATTGGCAAAACTTCGCCAGGAAGTTGAGTGGCAACCTTCCTTTCTTCTTCTGTGGCTTCACCTGCACGCAACTTGCTCTTCTTGTGCACTGGGAACAGAATCAATTTAGATCTGAAATAGAAAAGGTAGATATATTAATGGTTTTGATTATAAAAAAAAATAGTTGATAATATAAGTTAGAAGGGGTACTGACTTTCTATAGATTTTTTGAAAGACGTTTCATGAGGCTTTTGAATATGACCACAATATTTTCCTTTTATGTTAAAGTGAAGTTATTTACAAGAAAAATAATTGGGTTGATATTAAAAATTATACAAGAGTGTTGTTTTGTTAAAGAAGGTACCAGAATCAACAAGGTTGCAATGTGTCATGTTAGTCACTTCTAAATGGTACCAGCTACATGAAAAATAGTTATGCAAACAGTTGGCAAAACAGAACTCAATACACCAACCATTGAGGTATATTCGAATATGGTTTATTTAATATAACTTTTCTCTATGATGCGCCTTTTTAGTTGATTTTATCTAGTTTTAATTAATTATTTTAAACATTTGCGTTCGCAGCTGTAACATAACTTTGTGTCATCATTGTGGATAAGAGGTTCTTAATTTTTTTCAAAATTGTAAAATTATTTCTGTCCAATTTTATAAAGAAATTTAAGCAAAGTCAGTATGTAGTGTGTAAAGCAAAGTTTTCTTCTTTTTTATAGGCCCGAGGAAAGTAGAAACCACACTACCGAAACGTTGGCCAAATAATCAAGACTTATTGACAATAAAAATTACCACAAAGGTTGTGAATGAGACTTTTTTTCCTTCAAAATAGAAAATTATTCATACAGGTTTATTGGCTATAAATGTCACCCCCTCTACCTTCTTTATTTGACATTTTAGAACAAAGTGTCCCAAATAAAAGTTTTATAGTTCACATTTTTTTTTAAAAACTTGCTTTCACCCATACTGGGTGTTTCAGAAAAGCTGGTCGTGGTCCCACTTTCTCATTGACAATAAAAATTACCTACAAAGATTGTGGATAAGACTTATTTCCCTTCAAAATTGAAAATTATACATATTGGTTGTGGTCCAACTTTCGTCAAAGTCTGATTTTTTTTCAATAGGACACCCTTTATATTAATAACTTATTGAAATGCTATGATTTTTCTGATTTTAATGATATAAAGTTCGATAGGTTTATCTCTAACCGTTTTCGAGAAGAAAAAAAAATAATTCGGCTTTCCTCATAAGAAGCAATGTGTTAGAAAAGGACTTCATATCTGTAAGGAAAATGAAAAAGGTCTCTTTCTAACACATTGTTTCTTATGACAAAAACCAAAATATTTTTTTTTTCTAGAAAACTGTTCGAGATAAACCTATCTAAACCTATCGAACTTCATATCATTGAAATCACCAAAAGCAGAGCTTTCCAACAAGCTATTAATATACACGGTGTCCGATTGAAAAAAACCGGACATTGGTCAATATTTCAAAGTTGGGCCAACTTTGAGAACGTCACTGAATTCTGCTTCAAAAAGTTCTTCTAGAAAGTTTTTACGGAAATCAATTATTTTCATAAACAAAAAAGTTATGAAGGCTTCACAATATTGCTCAAAATCAAGAATTGCCCTCTAGCGGCTAAACGGTTGAAGATATCAAAATGCAGTTTGCACCAATCAAGATTTCATGAAATTTGAGCCTCAGAGTGATGGATTCATTTTTTTGTATCTCGCTCAGAAATTGACGTTTCCTATTAAAAGTGTCCAAATTGGCCCACCCTGTACAGTACATACATCTAGATTTTCCAAAGATGCAAAGATTTTTGAATTACTTGATAAAAGAGAAAATGAGTAGTTTTTTTGGACTTTCGGAGGGTATTTTAAGATATCGGCTATAAATTACTAATGGCAAAATTAAAAAGATATGGCATAACTAATACAGTGTATACTTAGACTATCTGTCGAACAATAACAAAATGAACAAGTTTTCTTAATAATTTTTTTTTGTAAAGTTGAAAATAGGCGAACTTCGCCTAAAAACAAAAGGGTATTGGAATTTTTTTTTTTTTAATACAATGTTAACTGCAACTTTTTATATGCACCAAAGGCGAAAAAAGAGATTAAAAAAAACAATATACAGGGTGTCCCACGGTGGATGGCGTATTAGACGCTTATGGAGAACTAAAAAGCGGATCATTTTGAAAATTTGGCAACCGGTATAAACGACCATAATCTACACTTTAAAAATATTTTTGTTTATGCGGTGTTGCCGCTTCTAACCTAAACCAGTGGCAACAGCGCTATTTTAAATGGAACACCCTGTATCTGATTACATATTTGGATTTTACGTAAAATTCTGAGCAGATTTCATGTGATATATCCTATACCTAAGTTCAACTGTTTTGGAATTATTGACAGTTGAAAATCGACTTTTTGCAACTTTGACAGGCTGTAAAACCTGAACGGTTAATTTTAGAGAAAAACCGATTTTACATTCCTATCTTAGATTTTTATAAACTATCATTTGATACCAACTTCAAATTTAATCCATGATTAAAAATTCCAATTAAATTTAATCTCCGGGTAAATTCAAAGTTGGTGTCAAATGATAGTTCATGAAAATGTAAGATAGGAATGTGAAATTGCTTTTTCTCTTAAATTAACCGTTCAGGTTTTACAGCCTGTCAAATTTGCAAAAAGTCAATTTTCAACTGTCAATAATTCCAAAACAGTTGAACTTAGGTATAGGGTATTATCACATGAAATCTGCTCAGAATTTTACGTAGAATCAAAATATGTAATCACATACAGGGTATTCCATTTAAAATAGCGTTGTTGCCACTGGTTTAGAGTAGAAGCGGCAACACCGCATAAACAAAAATATTTTTAAAGTGTAGATCATGGCTGTTTACCCTGGTTGCCAAATTTTCAAAATGATCCGCTTTTTAGTTCTCCATAAACGTCTAATACGCCATCCACCGTGGGACACCCTGTATACCCTTGAAAACTAAAATTTCCCTAAGGGAAGTGTCCCCACGCTGAATAGGGGTGAGTTACAAAAAAAGTTGATAAGGAAAAATTGTAGGAAATGTAATCTTATAAAACTTTTATTGAGAATTTTTTTTTGTAAACAAATAAAAACACTTTGAACTACCCCTATTGAAAAACGACAGGGGGTGAGTGAAAATTTCATAAAGCAAAAACTTTGTATGTGTTGTAGAAAAATTTTTCACGTTGGATAATTTTTTTTATTTTCATTATAAATTTCAAATGGCCCTTATGACCACAGATGGCCCCTAATCAAAAAAGTCTTTAGATAAACATTGTAAATCAAATAATGTTGCAAATCTTTTATTTGAAACATTTTTTTGTAAAATCGATAGGTACCAAGTAATCGCTAATGGCGCACTTTCAACCCATATAGCGCAAAACGCTAGAGGGGTGAATGTGTGATATCTTTGGTTTTATGATCAACCATCCGCCCCCTATCATTCCTGAAAAATTCATTTGGGTACAATTTTTTTTTTGTAAATCAACAATTTTCCTAGCCTATTATGTTAGGAATCAATTAATTTCAAGTACAGTTTTGTCGCCACAAATTATGTTTGACAAAAACAAGAAAGCTATTTTTTACTTTGAATGTTTGTCTGTTTTGCTGGTGTATACAAGATGTTGTATGTGTATCGTTTCTTAGGTGAGACAAGGCAAAAATTGGGGTCTCCCCAAATTATCATATTGCCCATTAAAATTATTATACAGGCAAAATAAACTGCTGGACAAATGAAGCAGAACAAGCGAATTTTTAGTTAAACTTTGGATTCCAATATTACGCAAACTAAAGAAGTTTTCAATGAGTGATTTGCGTAATTTAGAAGTTAATTTTCGCAAACCGCTCACTTTTATTTTTTTCAGTTCGCGTAATATTTTAATTTGAAGTTAACCTAAAAATTAGCTTGTTCCGTTTCATTTGTCCAGCAGTTTATATTGAGAGTGCCTGTATACATTGGATGCGCATCCACATGCAAACAATGCATCTCATTGGTTGTTTTAGAATTTTTAGTGCAGTCAATGTTGAATCAAATCAAATCAAATCATGATAGTCCAATTTGTAGATGTTTTATGTAGTAAAATCTGTTTTTTTTTAAAGATAAAAGTCAAAATGACATTCTGTTGGCAATACAATGTAAAATTGTCAATGCTTCCAAATTTTTTATGCGGAAAAGGCTTGTGTTGCCAACATAGTTACTAAATTTCGGACTTGGGGAATTATCTTTAAAAAAAAAAACAGATTTTATATTAAATTGTTTAATTGTTAGAATCAGCTTTAAAATGTGAAGTTGTAAAATGGTTTGCCGTTAATAAATAAATAAATAATAAATAAATAAATAATAATTATAGTGTTTTTGACAGAAATATGTTATGTTGCATGATTGATTTGGCAATTTGTCATAATCTATGTAAAATTTTAGCACATTTTAGTTTATGATTTTAGTAATTGTGATAAATAAAAAGTTGCTCAAGAATAATAGTTATTTACATTACATCTGATGGTGAGGGCATTGCAAATCTCTTTGCAAGGCACTTTGCATCGGTCTACGCGTCTGCTGGTCCTACGGGTAATGTGAGCAGTTGTGAACTTGTTGCTTTTCGAGACATGGTACATATCAATAAGTTATCTATTAACATTGGTGAAGTTTTCAATAAGCTGAATCACATCAATATAAATAAAGGTCCAGGACCTGATGGAATACCTCCAACATTTCTTAAGAACTGTGCACTAGCCTTATCTAGACCCTTGTGGCTGTTGTATAATAAATCATTGTCTGTTGGAGTTTTTCCAAAATATTGGAAACTATCTTTTGTATGTCCGATTTTCAAAAACTCTGGCAACAAGGAAGATGTTGAGAATTATCGCCCTATTACATTATTGTCTCATTTCCCAAAGATATTTGAATCACTGGTAAACGATTTTTTAACTGAAAAACTTAAAAATATAATAATTCCAGAACAGCATGGTTTTACCAGTGGTCGATTTATAACAACAAATTTGCTAGTGTATGAACGAGCCATATCGGGGGCCTTGGAGGCCGGTCAGGTTGTAGATTCTATCTATACCGACTTCTCCAAGGC